CCAGACTAAGATCAGGACTTAGATCAGGAATTAGATCAGGACTAAGATCCAGACAGAATGCAGACTAAGATTGGGACTAAGATCCAGACAAAAATCAGGACTTAGATCAGGACTAAAATAAGGAATAAGATCAGGACTGTGATCCAGACTAAGATCAGGAATTAGATCAGGACTACGTTCCAGACTAAGATTGGGACTAAGATTCAGACTAGGATCAGGACTTAGATCAGGATTAAGATCCAGTCTAAGATCAGGAATAAGATTAGGAGTTAGATCAGGACTTGGATCAGGACTGAGATCAGAACTTAGATCCAAACTCAGATCCAGTCTAACCATCTGAATGGATGATCTGATTGAATTGTCTCTCTAAAGCGCCTTTATAGGACGTTTATTTTGACTTTGTGCTATAAAAAATAAACTGAGCTGAAAGGATGTTTTAGGTTCAGTCTGTGAGGCTGGTTCTGGTTTCAACTGGACCTGATCAGAACCTCCAAGGACAAAGACAGGGCGACATCAACAACACAGAAACTTTTAGCTTAGCTCTACCGGTCTGTCTGCTGATCAACCGCATCCATAAAAAAAAACACTCATTATCATCCTCATCATCATCATCATCATCCTCATCATCATTATCATCATCATCATCTTCTCTGCATATCCGGTCAGCAGGGCCCCGCCCTCTTTGCTCATGACGTCGCTTGTTTTTGTTTACGTTTTCGGTGTTTTGAATAACTAAACCGACTGTTTGTGTCAGAGGCGATCAGTTCGGGATGATTAGATGCTGAATAATGAGGAGGATGATCGATCAGCAGCTGAGGAGGCGCTGCAGCCGATCAGCCTGTCAACAGCCTGACAGGAGGGACAGACAGGCAGCGGGACAGACAGACAGAGGGACAGACAGACAGAGGGACAGACAGACAGTCAGACAGAGGGACAGACACTCACCTGCAGCTGGCGGCGCTTCTGCTCTCTGTTCTTTCTGCTCTGAAAATTCACGCGCTGCACATCACCTACAACTTTGCGTCACAACGACGGTACCGGAAGTCACCGGGGCGCGTCCAAGTTTTTGCCTTCAAAATAAAGCAAAAAGCCTATTCAGATAAACTAGAACATTCTGGCTGCAGCAGTGCGCTAAAACCTGTCCAATCCTCAATAAAAGTCACGTAGAGTCATTCTGTGGGGGAATTTAAGTGAAATTATTTAAAATACAACCAAAAGCTGCAATAAACTGTATGATGTTATATTTTTATGAATCAATATTTTTAGCCATTTAGTTATTAACGGACACAATTTGGAAGGACCAAAGACTTATTATAAATAACCACTAACCACTATGCAGGGCACTATATAGGGGTTAACCACTATATAGGACACTATATAGTGGTTAATGTTTAACCACTATATAGTGTCCTATATAGTGGTTAACCCCTATATAGGGTACTATATAGGGGTTAACCACTATATATGCTGGGTCCTCAATTGCTCGTCTTCAACTTGTTCAAAATGCTGCTGCACGTCTTTTAACTGGCACACGCAAGTACGAGCACATTTCACCTGTTTTAGCTTCACTCCACTGGCTGCCCATCCATTTTAGGATTAATTTTAAAATTCTTTTATTTACTTTTAAAGCCTTGAATGGCCTTGCCCCAATTTACCTCTCTGAGCTTCTGCACCCCTACACTCCCAGCCGATCTCTCAGGTCAGCTGATCAGACGGCGCCTAAAGCAAGGCTTAAGCTCAGAGGGGATCGAGCGTTTTCTGTTGCAGCTCCAAAACTCTGGAATGCATTGCCGCTGCACATCAGACAGGCCACCTCTCTGTCTCATTTTAAAACTCTTCTTAAAACCCACCTCTTTTCTTTGGCTTTTAACACCATGTAGAGTATTGATTTTATGTACACATGTTGATTTTATGTATACACATGCATATTTTTATCCTGTGCGGGCAGTGCTTTTATTTTATTTTATTTTATTACTTTTATTTATTTTAGTTATTTTATCTTTTTGTGCAGCACTTTGGAAACCTTGTGTTTATTTAAACCGTGCTATATAAATAAAGTGGATTGGATTGGATTAATGTTTAACCACTATATAGTGTCCTATATAGTGGTTAACCCCTATATAGGGTACTATATAGGGGTTAACCACTATATAGGACTCGTTAGTGTTTAACCACTATATAGTACCCTATATAGTGGTTAACCCTATATAGTGCCCTATATAGTGGTTAACCCTATATAGTCCCCCATATAGTGGTTAGTAATTAACCCCTATATAGTACCCTATATAGTGGTTAACCCTATATAGTGCCCTATATAGTGGTTAACCCTATATAGTCCCCCATATAGTGGTTAGTAATTAACCCCTATATAGTCCCCCATATAGTGGTTAGTAATTAACCCCTATATAGTACCCTATATAGTGGTTAACCCTATATAGTGCCCTATATAGTGGTTAACCCTATATAGTCCCCCATATAGTGGTTAGTAATTAACCCCTATATAGTACCCTATATAGTGGTTAACCCTATATAGTGCCCTATATAGGGGTTAACTCCTATATAGTGCCCCATATAGTGGTTAGTGTTTAACCCCAATATAGTACCCTATATAGGGGTTAACTCTATATAGTGCCCTATATAGTGGTTAACCCTATATAGTGCCCTATATAGGGGTTAACTCCTATATAGTGCCCCATATAGTGGTTAGTGTTTAACCCCTATATAGTGCCCTATATAAGGGTTAACCCCTATATAGTACCCTATATAGGGGTTAACCCCTATATAGGGCACTATATAGGGGTTAACCACTATATAGTGCCCTGCATAGTGGTTACTGGTTATTCACTATATAGTGGGTAGGGCGGACATTCGGACACAGTCAGTATTCTTTCAATGTAGACTTAAATCACCTCCTAAATCAACGGTTGCCCTCTAAAACAGAGCGTGGACGCAATGATGCTCTCAAATAGAATGTCGAAACTAATTTGACATGTTAGATTTAAGCATATTAACCACAAACAAACAGCAAGAAATTTACTTTTCACATCAATATACAAACTTTATAGAATAAAATGACAGAATTTGTGCTTTTTGGAATGATTTTCTGTGTTTTAATAGGGAAGAAGAGAACCTTTTGTGTGTCTGTTGTCAAGGGTTCCCAAAGCGGGGGTTGGGCCCCCACATGGGATCAGGAGACGGTTTCTGCAAACATTGTGATGTAATCCCTGAAATATACCGAGGACCAAAGTATGAAGCAAAACACATAAATGTCCCATAAAATAAACAATATATTTATTTATCTAATAGGCCTACGTGATAAAATGTTGAATATACCATCGCATAGAAAAATGCACAATTAAGTGAACAGCCTGTTAAATAATTATACATACAATTCAAATTATGAAATAAATATTAAAGTTATACAAAATATTTTAAAATGAATATGATTACTGCTCTTTAAAGATACAGAGTGATATAGTTATCTGTATGATTGTATGTACTTTTCACAGGCTGAAATATTTCAGAACCCCTCAGTACCCATTGGTTCACGCCTGAAACCGTGAATCCGTTTGCTGACGTCATCAGATGAAGACCAGGGGCTCCAGCCGCCATGGACGTTTTCAAGCTTTTAATTTGAAATAGAAAAAGACGTTTGCGTTAGATCATCGATAACTTTACTTTACCGACAGCGCGCAGGCGCAGTACTCATGTAACGGTCACCACAGACGTAAAAGTAGACTCCGCATCGATCCATTTCTCCGATTGGCGCTGACGTCATTTGGTGGCGCCATGTTGGGAGGGTCAACACAGCTCCGCTTATTGTAATGTGTTGAGGAGGGACAGAATCAATCAATCGCTGAATATTAAACATTTTCTCGGTTTTGTTTTTATTTATTTGTATTTTTTGCTGTAAATAAACAATTGTTCAGTGTATTTAAATATTCTTTGTGGGTTTAAGAGTAATAGAATAATCTGATAGGAAGTATGCATGATGCAAAGCACAGCCACTCAGACATTTTTAGTACTATACGCAGAAATATTTTATACAGATATACAAAAATATATATACGTATCTCTCTCTGTATTTACATATGTACATACATCTATATATTTTATATATATATATATATATATATATATATATATATAAAATAGAAAAAATTATAGAATAGACATATATATATATAACTAAACTGAATAAACAGCACATATACACTATATATGTAGTGTATTTATGCTGTTTATTCAGTAATTTTTCCAAAGCTCTGGTGCCATCAAAAAGTTCTCCCTCGAGCCTCGATGCCAATAATCCGTCGGTTCAAACAAAATCACACTGCTCAGTGCAGAGGCATCAATCTGTTCTGCCTAAACCAGCAGGTTGGGGTAGCCTGTTGACCTCCCCAAGATGGCGCCCGTGAGTTCTGCACCACAACAGTCCTATAAGCATGTCTATGGTCCCAGCTGCAGGGGGAGACAGATCATGTGAGGCTGATTAAAGCGCTGTAGAACCTGGGTTCTGAAGAGGCTCTTATGTTTGATTAAACTGCAAATAATAAAAAATAAAAGATAAGCAGATTGTTAGAGGAAGCAAATAAGATGATGTGCTAATAGAATGAGGATGTTTACCCTTAAAATAAAATAATTTGATATTATACATGTGAAATAGGATGATGGGTTATTTTTTCCCATCTTGAACAGATTTGATCTTTTTTTAATAGTCAAACTGTCTCACTGGCTCAGACTAATGACAGACTTACTCAGGTTTCAGTTTTTGCTATTTTTTCAAAAGCATCTTTAGAAAATGATCAGATATCCTTTTCATTAAATCCACCTTTCTCCATTAAAATGTTTCTATTAGTTTGGTTTAAATCTCAGATATTGTTTTATTTTCATTACAGCAGAAAATCATCACAAAGGGCAGAGATGAAGGCGTGAAAGGATCAGTCTGGGATTTGATGAGCGACGGTTTTGAACACGTCACAGTCGGGAAGCAACAGCTCGCCGACTCTGGGACCAGAACCAGTGAGGAGGAATCCTATTGGATCACTAATCGACGGTGGTTCTGATCCTCTGATGGCACAGGAGCAACGATTTCTTCTTTAAACGGTTGCCTGGCAACAGTGGAACGATTTATAGGACCTGACCCTGAATCAAAGCCAGAGTTTTTCCGGGTTCTGGTGATCATTAGTCTGGACCCAGACGCTGTTTGTCTCAGGGATCGTCCTCCCAGCGGGTTTTCCTGCCGGGGTTCTGTGTCGGTACCAGGCTGTCTGAGGCAGCAGCGCTTAGCATCCGTTTGGACCGAACACCAATGATGGCTTCCAGATGATGATTTCTGTCCAGGTCCAAACAGACTCCAGACCGATGGAGTGGCGCACAACTACGGAATCGGACGGAATCAAACCGAAGTGGGTCCGATCCAGAATAACACCTCTGAGATAAAAGCTGTGAAGAACCACACACAGTTAAAATGGCCGCCATCAGTGTCTGCTTTCTACAACCAAACCAGAACAGAACCTCAATTACAGGGAGCCCAGCTTAAGCCTGAGTTTAATTCCGTAATCTGTGTTGGTCTGGATAAACTCAGAACCTCCTCCAGTCAGTCCGGGTCCAGAACTCCATGAAGCCCTTCCTTCCACACACCGATGTCCCGACTGTCTCGCGCCAGGTGAGGAGCAAACACCACATCCAACCTACGCAGGACACTGCTCTGGTCACCACGGACAACTGTCCCTTGGAGACGCCGCATCATCAGTCGGACCAGGACCTGATTGGCCCAGGCCAAACCCAGAGCAGGAGACACCGAGGAGGACGGAGCGCTGAGGGAAGGAGACAAGACTGCATCAGTTACAGAGTTCATCTTTTCAGCCCTGATCGTTGATCCTGGATAATCACAAAACAAACTTTGAGGCGTTACCTCAGACCGCTCCCTGATTGGTTGAAAAGATCTGTGACCTGAAAGAGACAAATTAAATAATAAAATATAATGTAGGTTTGATTATTGTTCTGCTACATTCTGCTCTGTCTGTACAGGAGACAGTCTCACCGAAACAGGTGGATGTCTGAGCAAAGACAGGTGTGTGTCTGACTGAGGACAGGTGTGTGTCTGACTGAGGACAGGTGTGTGTCTGACTGAGGACAGGTATGTGTCTGACTGAGGACAGGTATGTGTCTGACTGAGGACAGGTGTGTGTCTGACTGAGGACAGGTGTGTGTCTGACTGAGGACAGGTGTGTGTCTGACTGAGGATAGGTGTGTCTGACTGAGGACAGGTGTGTGTCTGACTGAGGACAGGTGTGTGTCTGACTGAGGACAGGTGTGTGTCTGACTGAGGACAGGTGTGTCTGACTGAGGACAGGTGTGTCTGACTGAGGACAGGTGTGTCTGACTGAGGACAGGTATGTGTCTGACTGAGGACAGGTGTGTCTGACTGAGGACAGGTGTGTGTCTGACTGAGGACAGGTGTGTGTCTGACTGAGGACAGGTATGTGTCTGACTGAGGACAGGTATGTGTCTGACTGAGGACAGGTATGTGTCTGACTGAGGACAGGTATGTGTCTGACTGAGGACAGGTGTGTCTGACTGAGGACAGGTGTGTGTCTGACTGAGGACAGGTGTGTGTCTGACTGAGAACAGGTGTGTGTCTGACTGAGGACAGGTGTGTGTCTGACTGAGGACAGGTGTGTCTGACTGAGGACAGGTGTGTGTCTGACTGAGGACAGGTGTGTGTCTGACTGAGGACAGGTATGTGTCTGACTGAGGACAGGTGTGTCTGACTGAGGACAGGTGTGTCTGACTGAGGACAGGTGTGTCTGACTGAGGACAGGTGTGTGTCTGACTGAGGACAGGTATGTGTCTGACTGAGGACAGGTGTGTGTCTGACTGAGGACAGGTGTGTCTGACTGAGGACAGGTATGTGTCTGACTGAGGACAGGTGTGTCTGACTGAGGACAGGTGTGTCTGACTGAGGACAGGTGTGTGTCTGACTGAGGACAGGTGTGTCTGACTGAGGACAGGTGTGTGTCTGACCTCGGACAGGTGTGTCTGACTGAGGACAGGTGTGTGTCTGACTGAGGACAGGTGTGTGTCTGACTGAGGACAGGTGTGTCTGACTGAGGACAGGTGTGTGTCTGACTGAGGACAGGTGTGTCTGACTGAGGACAGGTATGTGTCTGACTGAGGACAGGTGTGTGTCTGACTGAGGACAGGTGTGTGTCTGACTGAGGACAGGTGTGTCTGACTGAGGACAGGTATGTCTGACTGAGGACAGGTATGTGTCTGACTGAGGACAGGTGTGTGTCTGACTGAGGACAGGTGTGTCTGACTGAGGACAGGTATGTGTCTGACTGAGGACAGGTGTGTGTCTGACTGAGGACAGGTGTGTCTGACTGAGGACAGGTGTGTCTGACTGAGGACAGGTGTGTGTCTGACTGAGGACAGGTGTGTCTGACTGAGGACAGGTGTGTGTCTGACTGAGGACAGGTGTGTGTCTGACTGAGGACAGGTGTGTGTCTGACTGAGGACAGGTGTGTCTGACTGAGGACAGGTGTGTGTCTGACTGAGGACAGGTGTGTCTGACTGAGGACAGGTGTGTCTGACTGAGGACAGGTGTGTGTCTGACTGAGGACAGGTGTGTGTCTGACTGAGGACAGGTGTGTGTCTGACTGAGGACAGGTGTGTCTGACTGAGGACAGGTGTGTGTCTGACTGAGGACAGGTGTGTCTGACTGAGGACAGGTGTGTGTCTGACTGAGGACAGGTGTGTGTCTGAGTGAAGACAGGTGTGTGTCTGAGGACAGGTGTGTGTCTGACTGAGGACAGGTGTGTGTCTGAGTGAAGACAGGTGTGTGTCTGAGGACAGGTGTGTGTCTGACTGAGGACAGGTGTGTGTCTGAGTGAAGACAGGTGTGTGTCTGAGGACAGGTGTGTGTCTGACTGAGGACAGGTGTGTGTCTGAGGACAGGTGTGTGTCTGACTGAGGACAGGTGTGTGTCTGACTGAGGACAGGTGTGTGTCTGACTGAGGACAGGTGTGTCTGACTGAGGACAGGTGTGTGTCTGACTGAGGACAGGTGTGTCTGACTGAGGACAGGTGTGTCTGACTGAGGACAGGTGTGTGTCTGACTGAGGACAGGTGTGTGTCTGACTGAGGACAGGTGTGTCTGACTGAGGACAGGTGTGTCTGACTGAGGACAGGTGTGTGTCTGACTGAGGACAGGTGTGTCTGACTGAGGACAGGTGTGTGTCTGACTGAGGACAGGTGTGTGTCTGAGTGAAGACAGGTGTGTGTCTGAGGACAGGTGTGTGTCTGACTGAGGACAGGTGTGTGTCTGACTGAGGACAGGTTTGTCTGACTGAGGACAGGTGTGTGTCTGACTGAGGACAGGTGTGTCTGACTGAGGACAGGTGTGTGTCTGACTGAGGACAGGTGTGTCTGACTGAGGACAGGTGTGTCTGACTGAGGACAGGTGTGTGTCTGACTGAGGACAGGTGTGTGTCTGAGTGAAGACAGGTGTGTGTCTGAGGACAGGTGTGTGTCTGACTGAGGACAGGTGTGTGTCTGACTGAGGACAGGTTTGTCTGACTGAGGACAGGTGTGTGTCTGACTGAGGACAGGTGTGTCTGACTGAGGACAGGTGTGTGTCTGACTGAGGACAGGTGTGTCTGACTGAGGACAGGTGTGTGTCTGACTGAGGACAGGTGTGTGTCTGAGTGAAGACAGGTGTGTGTCTGAGGACAGGTGTGTGTCTGACTGAGGACAGGTGTGTGTCTGACTGAGGACAGGTGTGTGTCTGAGTGAAGACAGGTGTGTGTCTGACTGAGGACAGGTGTGTGTCTGACTGAGGACAGGTGTGTGTCTGAGTGAAGACAGGTGTGTGTCTGAGTGAAGACAGGTGTGTGTCTGAGTGAAGACAGGTGTGTGTCTGAGGACAGGTGTGTGTCTGACTGAGGACAGGTGTGTGTTGGTATTAAAGTAGATTACCTGGTTGATACAGAGTACAGGTGTAGTGAAGTCCTGGCTGAGTTTGTGCAACATGGAGGAAAAGCAGAGCAGCTGTTTGTTTCTCTCTAGCCAATCATCTGCCTGGAACTCGCACCTGAAAAGAGCTGCCACTGAATCAACCACAATGAGCCGGACCCGACCCTGAGCCAGTAGGAGGGGGGCACGGCGTGAAAGACACACCTGCAAGGAGTCCTGAAGACAAACACACCTGTGAGCCTGTGGCTAGCCAACAGATGCAAACTGATCTGAGGTCAGAGGAAACACCCACCAGGTCAGCCGTGTGTTCAATATAGACGTTGTCACTGAAGCGAAGGCTGCTGATCAGAGATGGAGGGACGTCAGAGCGCAGAACAGACTGCTCTGAGATCAGCTGCTGAAGGCGCTTGATTGGAAACTGATCCTCTGTGCAGATATACAACGCTCCTGGCAGGAAAATGTCACATGATTGATCGGTTTATGGCGATGATGCAGTCGCTGAAACCGTGGTTATTCCTGGAACGTTTACTGACCAGCTCCCAGGCCTCCATGTTCAACTGGATACTGCACCGACAGGCACAGCTGCAGACCAAGCTGCGTCTTCCCGGCTCCGCTCTCTCCTGACAGCTCAGTGACACCCCCTACTGGCAGACCGCCCCTCAGCAGCTGGTTCAGAACCGGACAGCCCGTACTGAGCCGGAGTCCAGACTCTAACCTGGGACACTCACCTCGCTGGAGCTGAAGGGCTGAGGGAGCAAACATTTCTCTTACACCAGCAGACCAATGGTTCGCCATTACCCATGACATCATAGTGTCTCATCCAATCAGAGGTCTGACCTGTGACTGGCTGGTGAGGTCTGCAGGCTGTGGCAGCAGCATGGAGCAGCTCCTGGAGATCTGATGGGGACAATCCGGTCATATTCTGGAGGTCCGGCCCAGACGAACACAGAACCTCCCTAACAGACTTTAGTTGAGCTGGTGGAGGAGGAAACAGGTCACTATGGCAACAACAAAACCAAAGAGCCGCATATTGATTCTCATTAGTGTGACACAACTTAACCCACACTAAAGCTTTTAGTTTTAATTAAAAATAAAAATTCAATTAATTTAAGATGAATGAAATAAAGCCGAAGTCAATGCAGGTTTTAAAAGATGAAGATCCTAAAGAGTCTAGCTGGGATTTTTCCGGACTGAGGGAGGAACAGTTAAAGTGGCGGTTTGCAGACTGGACTCTGGTGGAGCCGCCGGTACCTTTCCGCACAGCGGAGATGATCCGCGGCTTCAGCTGCAGCTGATCCCAGCTCATCTCTCAGCCTCCGGGTTCGGTTCTCCGCGGTTCAACGCTGATAGTTTATGACACAACTCTAAATGCCCCCGGAAGTGACGTAATTGCTTGCCGAGTCGAACTTTTTAAGCCGGTTCCTGAGAGGACGCTGGTACCGCTGGTACCGAGCCCCGACTGTCAGGCTCAGGCGACCGGGTTCACGTCGACCGACGCTGAAAATGACGTAGAGCTGATTCTGGTTACGGATTGGCCAAGGAGTGACGTCACATTTGGGCGCCAGTAGAGGAAGCAAAACAGATCAGAAGCAGAATAATAATTGATCATTGATCGGAACCTGCTTACAGACTCAGAAGAAAGGTCGAACCGGAGCCGGAACCGGACCGGTTAGAACCCAGACCGTTAGAGTCTGTCGATCCTCACCGCTCTTCTACTTCCGGTAAGTGTCCATTGTGTTGTTCTTATCGGTGGTCCAGCGGTTCGCGCGTCCACCTCCCGCCGGTGGAACCGACGGTTCGAGTCTTACATGATCCTATTTATATTGGTTGATTTTTATTGTTGGACTTTAACTAAAGGGAGAAATGATCACATCTACAACTCAGAACCAGAGACACAAAACCAAGATGGACCCTTCAGGACTGTTTGCTCTTCATTTTGGTTCTGCTTGCTTTACGTTATTTTTTCCCCCACAATAGAATAGAAAAGAATATACCGTTTTTGTCTCATAATGGGGAAACTCTGGTGTTTACAGCACCAAAAGATTGTAGACACACAAATGTGGACCTTAGAAAAATGTATCAGATTAACATAATAGTGAAGAGTTAAAATATAAACAATAAAATTCTGTAAAGTGTTTTAACAATATAAAACTGGAGAATAAATAACCAACATCCAGCTATGGACATTTTTACAGTAAATTGAAAATAGCAGCAACATCAGAGATGTGCAGAATGACAGCAGCAGGTTATTTAACTGACTAAGGTAGAAACTGAGCAGAATCAGCATTAATGGAAGAACTGGTTGAGGTTACTGGGAACAGTGGTGGTTCTAGAGTCTTCCAGCTGCTGGGAGGAAGGATCTGTGATAACGCTCCCTGGTGCATTTAAGGTGCAGCAGTCTGTCACTGAAGGAGCTGTCCAGTTCAGCACCAGCTGAACCAGCATGGGGGGGGGGGGCGTTATCCAACAGAGATTTTCATTTAGTTAGGATCCGTCTGTTTCCCACCTCCTGCACTGAGTCCAGAGGGCATCCAATCAGAGCTGGCCTTCCTGATCAGCTGATCCAGACGCTTCCTCTCAGCTACAGATGAGCCACTGCTCCAACAGACGCTCCATAGAAGATGCTGATGCTACAAATGAGTCAGACAAGGTCTTTAGGAGCTCCCCCCCCCCCCCCCCCCCCCCCCCCCCCCCGGTGCAGATGGTTCTGATCCGTTTAATGATCCTGTTCCTCCTCATCTTCAGGCACCAACCTCTGAGCGCAGCCATGAGCTCCCGGGTGTGCCGGACCTGCGGGGGGTCCGACATCGATGTCGACCAGGCCCGGGGAAGCGCGGTGTGCACGGGCTGCGGCTCGGTTCTGGAGGACAACATCATCGTGTCGGAGGTCCAGTTTGTGGAGGGAAGCGGAGGAGTTTCATCCGCCGTGGGACAGTTCGTCTCCGCAGACGGTTAGACCGGTTCCATAAGCTCTGAGTGGCAGCAACCGTACCACAGGTCACCCATCATTACCAGTGCAGCCAGCCCTCTGAACTGAGAACATAAACAGCCCCATTCTCCAGATAGATAAATGTTAATAGAATAGACATCCATTATCTGTTCTAGGTTGTGTCCCTCTCTTCTTGTCCCTTTTCTTCTTGTTTTCCTCTCTATGTTTTGTACTCAGCTGACTTTTCATGCTGTCTCTAAAGGAATGAAAGATTTTTTCCAAGCACTAAGCTCACTTAGCTGATTGCTCCTTCCTGTGTTTCCAAAAAGGCCAAAGTAAATAACCCAGTCCTTCTTTTCACTGTAGACAAGCCATGATCTGCTTATCTGTTCTCCATTTTTCATTTGGATGAAATAATAGCTGCATGAATCATGACAGCAGACAAGATAGAGGAGAGCAGGAGGCGGGGTTACCAATCTACTCGCTCTGGAGAGCAGAGTTCGCTGCTTTTAGATGTTGTCTCCAAAGTCTCCAGTAGCAGAAAAAAAGTCTCTAGATTTGGCGCTAGGAGCTTTTTAGAAATCAAAGTGCTAGAGGGGTCTGAAAAGTGGCTAAATATAGCGACTAAAGCGCTAAGTTGGCAACACTGCTCTTTGCATGGTTTGTTTTCAAATGGTTTGCTGCTGTCTGTTTGGACCTTTCTGAACATGTGCAGCAAATGGACTGATCCAATATGGTGGACACTGAAGGGGGGGGCTGAGACACACTTATTATTATCAGCGTTCTGATGGCATTTTAAAGAAAAACAATTATTGTGCAGAAATAAGGAATAGCTGCATTAACCATACATGGACGGAAACAGTTTTATGGGGCCCCCCCAAGGTAACTGCCTAGTATTGCCTAACGGTAAAACCCTGAAATTATGGCTTTCAGTTTCAGTGGCCACTCAAAGATTTTTATTGGCCCCATCTGGCCCCCCCACATGAAACCTTTGAGAGTCACTGTCTGATAAACCTTGTTTCTTCGGAGTCTGGCAGTAAATTCCATACATGAAACCCGAAAAATGCACAAAGAACAGGAACCAGAACAGCTGACTGACAAATCCACTTTATTAAACTTCAAACATGGAGGCGACGCAAATCAGAACCGCTCACCTGCAGAGAAACAGAATCAGTTAGAACAGGTCAACTTTCCATTCCCTACAGCAGTTTAAATCCAAGCTCAACTAAGTCAGAACAAAAAGTAAATGGAATAATCGGTGCTGTCTGATATGGTAAATGGCATGTACTTATATAGCGCCTTTATTCAAGTTAGTAGACTTGACCAAAGCGCTTTACACTACAATCATTCACCCATTCACACACACGCACTCACACACTGATGGTGGCAAACTACATTGTAGCCACAGCTGCCCTGGGGCTCACTGACAGAAGCGGGGCTGCCGTACACTGGCGCCACCGGGCCCTCTGACCACCATCAGTAGACGATGCAGGTGAAATGTCTTGCCCAAGGACACAACGACACTGAAAGTCAGAGTCGGGGCTTGAACCGTCAACCCTTCGATTTCAGGGCAAACTCCTACATCCAACGCCACTGTCGATATGAACTGAGAAATCTGAGGCATTCAGACCTAAAAAGGTTCTGTTAAGTCTGTTCTGCTCCAAACTCTAGAAATAAAGTGTTTCCCATCCTATAATCAAGTCTGGTTCCGTTCAGTAGAATGAAGCCGGTTTATTTAGGGGTTCTGGTTTAGTCGCATTACCATGGCAACCAACAGGGTTAGTTACCAACAGGGTGGAAGTGGGCTTGTACCTCTGACGATTCCTTCGCTAACACTGGTTCCATACAGATCCGATTCACCACCACAGGCACCGTGGATAATTAATTTGGAATCAGAGCTATTTGGGTCCGTTTGAAGATCACCGACTTTTCCTGAAGTTGGGCGTTGGACTCCAGTATTAGCCTGGTCAGGGTTCTGGGGTTCGAAGTTCTGGTAGAACCTTCTGCTGTCTCCCTCCGCTGAAGGCTCCTGGTTCTGTAAGGACTCAGACTGGTCCCAAGTCTGGAGTCTTGCTGCCAGACCGACTGGTTTCACTCTGATTAGGGAAAGTCCTGATTGAAGGAAAGTCAGATTTTAAAAGCGGACCAAAGGTGAAACCAAGCAGACGGTTAGATCATCGGCTCTTACCTGATGTTTGACGAATGGGTCCAGATGAACTGGATTTCTCTCTCGGATCATTTGTCTCAGCCCATAAAGACATTAGCCCTTGCTCTGTCTGTTGCTGCTGCCCCTCCTGGACAGAGAAGTGGGGCTCCGGCGGGCTCTGGTGCCCCGCCTGGACAGAGTACTGGGGATCCGGCAGGCTCTGGTGCCCCGCCTGGACAGAGTACTGGGGATCCGGCAGGCTCTGGTGCCCCGCCTGGACAGAGTACTGGGGATCCGGCAGGCTCTGGTGCCCCGCCTGGACAGAGTACTGGGGATCCGGCAGGCTCTGGTGCCCCGCCTGGACAGAGTACTGGGGATCCGGCAGGCTCTGGTGCCCCGCCTGGACAGAGTACTGGGGATCCGGCAGGCTCTGGTGCCCCGCCTGGACAGAGTACTGGGGATCCGGCAGGCTCTGGTGCCCCGCCTGGACAGAGTACTGGGGATCCGGCAGGCTCTGGTGTCCCGCCTGGACAGAGTACTGGGGATCCAGCGGGCTCTGGTGTCCCGCCTGGACAGAGTACTGGGGATCCAGCGGGCTCTGGTGCGCCGCCTGGACAGAGAACTGGGGATCCGGCGGGCTCTGGTGCGCCGCCTGGACAGAGAACTGGGGATCCGGCAGGCTCTGGTGCGCCGCCTGGACAGAGAACTGGGGATCCGGCAGGCTCTGGTGCGCCGCCTGGACAGAGAACTGGGGATCCGGCGGGCTCTGGTGCGCCGCCTGGACAGAGAACTGGGGATCCGGCAGGCTCTGGTGTCCCGCCTGGACAGAGTACTGGGGATCCGGCCGGCTCTGGTGCGCCGCCTGGAAAGAGAACTGGGGATCCGGCCGGCTCTGGTGCGCCGCCTCTTTGATTGAGGGAAAGGTTAGGTTGACCAAAGACTGATAGACTGTAGTCTGGAGAACCGGTTCTGGTTTCTCTGAAAGACTCTCTCTTGGTTTGGACTCTTCATTCTCAGTTTGTTTAGAGGCCCACGTGTTTGCCTCGCCACTCAAAAGTGTCGCTCCATACTGGGCCAGATTAAGGTTTTTGGAGTTAATCTGTTGGATGATGGGTTTTTGATTGAGACGAAGCCCAGAAGAGACAAACTTGCTGGGAGGTTTAACTCTGATGCTCTGCCCTCTGGACTGGAGATTTGTTTCCACTTGTCCAACTCTTTGTACGTTTGGGACTTCTTGGATGGGTGCACTGGTCTGTTTGCCGTAGAAGAACTCCTGCAGCAGGTCACTCTGCTCAGGGACCGCAGTCCTACCAGCAGCAGGATCCAATGTTTTCTCTTTGCCAGTCTGAAAGAAATAATTCCCAATGTGTTCCTGTGGTTGGACCAACGTTGGGTAGTGAGTGGTTTGAGTTGGCCTGTTGTGATACTGATGTTGGTAAACTGGGTTGTTGACCTCATCGACCTCCATTCCAGCGCCGGGGGACCAATAGAGGTTAAAATTGGGCTTTGAGTCTGCCATGCCAAATAATAGATCAGATGGAAGACTCTGAAGAATCTCACTTTCATCAATAATGGACTGACCCTGGTCCATTTTGTCCCAGACTCGAGACCCGAAAAGGGAACTTGAGCTTCCCTGGTTTTCACTGATTGGACGGTGGGGAATCCTGTCAAATGGGCCTGAAGGGGAGTATTCTCCGCCTGGTCCTGGCGTTTCCCTGGCCAGTCCTTCGGAGCTCTCTGGTGGTGCGCTTGGGTCTTCCACATCGGTTAAAGGATAAAACCTGGAGAGAGACGAATAATCAGGAACCGCTTTTCTTTTCTGCATTATTCTTCAGATGAGACTCACTGAGGGACTTGCAGGATTGGTGTCTCTGAAGAATGGTCCTTATTTAAGGATGAGAGCAGCTGTTTTTGTCCTCCTGATACTGGGATGAATTGGCTCTTTCCTGGTCGGGGCAGAGTTCCCACTGTAGATGGCTGTAAGCGGAGCGTACTCAATGGGGCATTGATGCTCTCTGACTGCTGACATTTTTTATTTGAATCTGCTAAAAGAGAAAACATTTAACGCAACAATAAAGCCAAAGATCTTCTCCTAATGAAAACATCCCAACCTCTTTTGCTCTCAAAGACTCTCATTGATCCGAATCCAGGAGTTGCTGAGGAAAAGGTCCGGTCTACAGAAATTCTGTTGACTGCACTCATAGGATAGAAGCATCTCACCGTCACCCTGTCAGAGATTCAGATGAGTCTCCAGGACAGTTTCAGAACAGTTCTTCCTGGTTGTTCACAGGTCCTTACTTGAACTGAGGTTCTCTGGAGATGAAGTTCGGCCCATCTGCAATCAGGAGTCGATCATGGACTATCTCGTTCTCGTAAACCATGTACCACTCTCCAACCTGTAAATATTCTCACATTAAGACCAATAATTTTCAGGTCTAAAGGTTTGACTTGGCACTGCCCTTAACAACCACAGGCACAGATATTTTTAGGCTTTGCCATTTTTCTCTTCATGATCGAGACACCAAAGAAGCTACAGGTATACGAGTTTATAGTATCAACACCCCCTGAGCAGTCTTTGCCTAACTGAGACTCCAAGATGATCTGGAAATCTGGATATTTCAAATCTGATTGATAAAGAAATAGCTGAAAAGTTCCTTGGTCCATTTCCCCCTTATAGAACATCCATACCGTTGCTCTGGTTCCACAGGAGTTCACCTTGAACTCAAACAGGACTTTGGATCCATCAGCTTGTTTTGGTTTGCAGGTAGGGTCCAGAAGACTGGTTCTTTCAGGTTTCACCATTGGCCACGTGGAGGTCGGCGTTGCCACCACAGTCATGGTGCCGTCTGCAGAGCAAACTGAAAGCAACGTTTATGAATATCAGAGCATCAGAACAAGTCAGTAAATTGGTCTTGTTAGTTTCAAAACTTTGCACATTCAGCTCAGAGCTGGAGGGGGGAGAAGTTACCTATCATGTTCTGCGTTCTGAAAAGGCAGCGCTTTGATGTGGATGCCTGGACCTCCAGAGTTTTGGAGTCTCTTAAAAGCAACTTAAATGTTGCATAAAAGTTTGACAAGTTGATGTCCTAGAAAACAAAATACAGACATTAAAACTCTTCTACATCTTTAGTTTTTAAGTTTTAGGCTGGATGACCCTTTCAGAACCAAGCTAATAAATGACCTGGATAGCAAGCCAGTTTTGGTGCAGTTCTGTATGCATGCAGACCAATGATTGTGGAGCAGTTACTGGAGCATCAAGCAGCCCGAGTGGTGAGTGAACGTCTGATGGGAGCCCTCAGATTAGATAGGAATACCATCTGTGACAGCAGCACCCACACTCTTGTGACCACACAATTTTTACAAGAGCAGTCTTTGTTACTAATAAAGCCAACAGGTCCTTCACATTGAAAGGCTCTGCAGACCGTGCTCCTGGAGCAACGTCAAGAACTTGTTTAATTTTGAGCTATTCGCCTACCTCATGATTAGCTGCAAAACATGCCAAGAATGGTTGGAACCTCAGTTATGTAGCCGTTACCTCATGGACTAACCTCATAAGTGTAGCCGATGGAAAAAACTGGGATGTCCAGGATAGTTCTGATGCTGTCATTATGGAGGCGGTAACCTCTCTGGGCCACCAGCTGCTCCGTCAGAGGCTCATGGCCGACGCCGACCTCCCAGAGACTCCGAGACTGTCTGGCTATGCTGAAGGAGATTCCTCCATCGTAACACTGAGCAGTTATCTCTGGTGGGACTTTGGGGAGAAAGTCAGGATTCAGGAGAGCTTGGACGGATTAACACCCCAGAGCTTCCTTAATACTCACATTCATTAAAAACTCGTGCTGTAATGACGTTCTGGTAGTAGTAGGACTCCCTCTGAGGCACAATGGTTAAAGTGACGTTTAGGTCTATAGAGTACTCCACTACACCTCCACCCATATTCTGTTGTAGGGACAAAAGCCAGACTTAGACCAGAACAGACGAATAGAGCCGTCAACTACTTTAATTGTGCTGACTTGGCTCCAATGCCTACAGTTAGAGCAGCTCTGACAGTAAAGAAAATTAGCAAAGATGAGCTGGCTGGTAAAACTATAAGCTCACCGTCCACTGCACAACAGGATCGTCGAAGGGTAGACGCAGCTGGTAGGCCTGGCTGCCGTTGGCATGGACAACCGGACTGATGCTGAGGCCTCGCTGTGGCTTCCCCAAGATCAGCAACCGCTGTCCATTAATCCAGATTTCCTCCAAGAGGACATCTGCTGGAATGTTCCCCAGATAGACTGTGAACTCCTGATCACCAATTGTCTCTGTGGATAGAAATGCCACACAGCCAGTCTTTAGGGTGTGAGAAGCAGGTACAGGTATCAGAGCTTTTCTAATCTAAAGCAAAAACCCTTACGGTTGAGGCAGAAAGGTTGCCTACAGACCAGCGGCGTCTCAAGCACTTTGAAGGTTCTGTGTTTGGTGTCAATGCTGTGGCCGTCGTCAAAGATCAGAGAGAAGACATGTTCATACATCAGGAGGACCGTGTAGAACTCCTGGTACAGATTTTCCAACACCAAACTCTGTAGGAACAAAGCCCAAGTTTAAAGTTGCATTTCCTTAAAGCCAATGGGCAATCAGCAATTAGACTTTTAATCCCACTCTACCTTCCTGAACCCTCCTTCTGACCCAAAAGGAACTCCAATCTCTATCATTCCCTCTTGGTGAACCAGACTGAGGCCTTTGGAGGCAGCAGTGGCCTCATCCAGCAGGGAACCATCCAGACCCAAACTGAAACTCTGACTTTTTAATCCTGCTCCCTCCCCAACCAGAGCAGGTAGAAACCGAGGGACATTCCAGAGCAACCGAGTGCCATCGAATGATCCAGTATCTGAAGGAAAAAGGCAAGAACATTCTTAGCTCCGGTTCAGACTGCAGCTCATCTCTGATGCATCAGCTTACTGAGTGCGCAGGCCATGGACATATCAATCATCACCAGCATGAGCTTCTGTCTGAAGAACAGAGACACCTGGATGGTCTCCACTGGAACATCGTCAACCTAAGAGATCAGTTTCATTATCAATGTGAATGAAAACCAGGAACAGCCGAATCGTAAAGGAAAAATATTTTCATGCTGTAAAATTTTGTCCTTTTAGCTCCTAAGTGGTCACTCTTCATCTTTTCTAGACCAAGTTCTTAGTCTAGAACTAATGTTTGTGTGAAAAAGGACTCTTGGATTCACCATGGAGGAGAAATGTCTGTTGTGCGTTTGTTGATACCCACCATGGTGACCTCAGCATGCGGCTGTTTGAGCGGAGATCGAAGGATCACCCTCTGAGACGTGGCCATCACACTGTAACCCCACTGTTGGGCCTCCGGGATGGACATTGAGGTAGTCTGCCCGTTCCTTTGCAGAAATATTAGCTGCCAGGACAAATTGGCTGTCTTCTGAGCCTGAAGACCACAAACCAGCCATCTGACATGAGAACCACCTCAGGGTCCAACCAGGGATATCAGAAAAACGTAATCCCTCATTAGCCGACAACTGGACTGGCTATACCATCAGCAGGGACCAGAGGTTACCTTAAAGAGAGCTTCCTGCCAAACATCTCTACGCTCCACTCCATGAGCTTCACACGAAGACTGTCTGTTAACATTCACCTGGGAGACGACCACAACAGTTTAGGCAGCAGTCTCACAGGCAGCACCAGAAGTGGTTACAAGTGTCCTCACCTCCATGTAGTCTTCCTCGCAGGTGAGCTCTCTGTGGGTCCAACTGATACCAGAACAGACTGTGGAAACAAACCGGCTGCTCAAGCCTCCACCGTTGTTTATTAGCACGTTGAACTTGAAGGTGAACAGCTCATCATTCTGAAAAAACACCCAAAACAATTTGGTAAAGAGGAGCTTCAGTAGATGGGATTCAGGGTAGTTGGACAGACCCGGCCACCCTCAGTGGCCAGGTGCAGGCTGGTGGGTTGACCAGCAGGTGAAGCCAAAGGTTCTTAGAATTAGAACCTGGACATACGTTGGTGAAGCTTCTGTTAAAGGCTTAGAACAAGGTACCTGGTTGTGGGTGAAGCAGGAGTAATAAGATGCCCTGAGGACAGTGAAGCCATCCTGCTGGTAGGCGCTGATGGTGTAACCACAACGCGAAGCAAGCTGCTCACCAATGGAGTGGACACCATCGTCGTCTAGATGATGTTACAGACCGTGAGACCTGGGAACTTTAAAATCATTGTGTTCACTGATGAAGAACTGACCGACAGCTTCGAAGTGAGGCATCTGTGCCGAAGCCACGCGGATCCACAGGTACCGATCCCGACACTCCAACTGAACCAAACCTGCGGACAGAGCACCAGTGGGTCTGCAGTCGCTAAGGTTCTGTGCAACAGGAGTATCGTAGTGAAGATGCAGGTTTCCTCCTGGAGACTCAGCTCAGTAACCAACCAACCAACCATGGAGGAACCCAGGGAGCTGGTGGAAGGTTGCTTTCTGTGAATGAACAAACTGTAATAGATGTTCTTTTTCTTTTTCTGTGATTCAGCAGAACTTTAATTAGAAACACCTTAGTAATGCTAATGTCTACCAAACTGGAACATGTTTGACTTCATGAGGAGGAAACCCTGCAGGCTTAGATGTAGATAAACTAGAATCTGCTCACCATCCAGCTGGCTCCCAGCCACCGTTTCCTTAATAAAACAGCTGCAGATCATCCAGAGCAGCCTGGAACACAAAGCAGCAGAGTTGAGCTTTGACCTGCCCAGGTGAGACCGGTGTTCTGTCAGAGGAGCATACCCCATCAGACCGGCATACCCCATCAGACCGGCATACCCCATCAGACCGGCATACCCCATCAGACCGGCATACCCCATCAGACCGGCATACTAGTGATGTTATGAGATGAGCCGAGGCTTCGAGGTGTGTGTCGAGTAATGGAGGGGGCGTTTCCCCGAAGCGCGTGTCGAGGCGTGATTCATTTAGAGGTGGGGCCAAAATTAATGACGTCCGAGGCCTCGCTACCGTGATACATGACCGCTTCGGGAAGTGGTTCAGGAAAAGCAAGAGTTTTGACAGGCATCTCAACAGCCTCAGTGTTCAGTCAAGATGTGGGAGATTGGAGGAGAGCTGCTGTCAGCTGGATAAAGTTTGCAAAGATTCTAAGAATAGATTGGTTGTTTTTCCAACCAATCTAGTTGCTTAAAACTAATTTGGTTAGAATAAACAATGTAATGATCAAAATTTGAGCAAACCATCGGACAAAGTCAGTGTTAACACGTTGCTGTTAAGTAGTATTTTCTCCCTGCTATGATCATCTGCATAGGTGGCGTCAGCTGTAAGAGACAGGCTCTCACTCTAGAAGTTGATGGTTCAAGACCTGCCTTTAACTTTGAAAATTGCGATTAAACTGGTTGATGAGACTAATTTGCATTGTTTTGCCCAAGTAAAAATATAGATTGGGTAAATTAGGTCGGTTTAGTCAAAAGATTGGTTGAACACAACTTCCAACCTGATTAAAACCAAAAATCGTGGAAAAACTATCACGTTTGAATAAAAATGACATACACCTTTCATTTTTCTCATCATTGCTCATCAAAGTAAATTCCCTCTGGGATTATTAAAGTATTTCTGATTCTGATTGCCCAGTTTTACCCAATTTGCACAAACACTTTAACTGTCTGCTTGAGTTTATTTAACTAAAATGGCAGAAAAACTGTGCACCTTAAATTATTGTTCTAAGAAATTTTACACTTAAAAAAATTACAAAAGATTTTATTATACACACCAACCATTAACAATTTCAAGGGAACTTTAAAGGGGGAAAAAAGAAATATAGATTTTATTAAAAAAAATGTAGTTCTGCATTCCACCAGTAGGTGGTGACATGTTCACATGAAGCCTCATGAACTGTGGGGATCGTTGGAGCTATTTGGCCAAACGGTTCAATCAGGCTTCATCTCACCATCAGACCAGCATACCCCATCAGACCAGCATACCCCATCAGACCAGCATACCCATAGTCAATCCCAGTCTATCCTTTTAGTTTAAAAAAAAAAAAAAAACAAGTTTAAACTACCTCAATTGGCATGTATCCCTTTAGTCGTACACAAAACCCCCCAAAAAACTATTTCAGTTCAGATCCCCATACCTAAAGGGATACCCCCCCGCTGAGGTAGTTTAAAACCTATTTTTCATACAAAACTAAAGGGATAAACGCAGATTTGATTTGTTGGGCATGCGTATTGACTATAGGTACGTTCCTCTGACAGACCGTCGGCTCAGGTGAGACCGGCTCAGGTAGGACCGGTCCAGATAAACTCACCATACGGAAGCCGCAGTAGCTCTCATGCTGACGCTGGAAACTCTCTCCTCAGCTGGAAGCTCCTTCTCCACTGAGGGAAGCCGTCAGACTCTGCAGGCAGGTGTGCTACTCACCTGGTTGTCATAGTAACCAAAGAGAGAACCCAGGTGGGTCTACTTGAGGATGATTGTATCTGAATTGGAGCAGCAGGCCTTTTCTCTGCCTGTCAGGAGAACTTTCATGAAATTCAGGCTGTGTTGGGTTTTAAAAGCTGCGTCTTCAGAGGATGAGGTCCGCCTGGATCCTTCAAGGAAAATCAGGAGACCGGAAGAGTTTTGGCTCTGAATTCAGGTCCAGCCTTCTGTACGCTATGTCGCCTAGCAACGGTGACATTTGACACCCAAAGCAGGAAAAGAATAAATACCAAACTTTTCAGAACTGTTTCTGCTATTTTTGTTTATTGTAAAGTGAACAAAGACTACGCTCATGAGAATCCAGAAAAAAATAAAGGTGCCAAATAAAAGCAAATGCAATGATATAACAGGGGTAGAAAGATATATGTGAATCCAAACAATGTATGTAAAAAAAAATATATCTGCAAAATCTCATATCCAAAAACAAAAAATATTTAGTTAAGCAAATTGTGCAAAATTAATATAAATATAGCAATAAAAAAAATCAAACTCCTATCAGATTTATAGTCCCCCCCCACCCTGCAGATCTATTAGAATCTGTCCTTAAATTCCAGCCAAACCCATTTACACAGTAACAGATAAAAACCTTTAGATAAACCAAACATTACTGCCACATATCTGACTCTATAACCATTAAAACAACTATTTTCATTCATTTCAGACGGAACTATTCACTGACTGGATTATATTAAACTGAACTTCCAATATTCACCACTGTTTGGCGCCATTTCCCTTTTTCTTCTGATCACAGAGCAGCTGGCTTGCTTGGACTCGCAATGAATCCTGGGAAAACCAAGGATAGCGAGGATACATGGGGTGTTCTGTCAGACCAGCATCCCTATAGTCAATACGCAAGACGTCAGATTTGCGTTTATCTCTTTAGTTTTGCTCAAAAAACAGACTTTGAAGTCATATCTAAAAGTCAAATAATTCTGGCTTAAACATGTATATAAATGTCTTTATCAGACCATATTGTCCCAAAAGTTAGAAAATTTCTATTTTAAAAAAATCCTGTCTTAAAATCTGTGTTTTCTCCGTTATCTTCTGCAGGCCAGTTAGTTCTACGTCAGCCTGAACACCTAAATTCGGCCAATCATCTATCAGCGGTCATCTGTCAATCAAATGTTTTCGGTCATAGCATCTTGATTCATATGTCGCAGCTAATATACGCAACGGTTGAAATCAGAATCCTTTCCTTTCCCATTGAGTTGCGTCCCAGTGTTCACGGGGATGGACGTCTGTGTCTTCAGCAGGCGTAGAGCTAACAGAACTGGCAGCGTTGCGAGGCAAGGGCTCAAACATGTACGGCTGGAAGCCTTCTACACCAAACCAAGCTTCTGCCGCCCTGGCGTCCTCTTCCACAACATCTTCGTCCCCGCTTTCCTCCTCTAAATAAAAAATGGATGACGGAGGAGACTCATCCACGACCTCCGACACTAAACTCTCCTCCTCTTGCATGTTTCCGCTGTCCATAGCGTTCCTTGACAGCGTCGTTTCTAAGTCACCAATTTAGTGCTACTTATCTACCTCATGCCTGTTGAGGTAGATTAAAGTCTATTTTTCATTCAAAGCTAAAGGAATAAAGGGGTATTGACTATGGGTATGCTGGTCTGACAGAACACCGCATCTGTCCTTCAAAAAGAAGGACGCATTTGTCGGCTGCATAACGAGGACTCTTGGAAACCGACCAGACCTCGTCGCCAGGCTGTGACGTGTTCGGCCTAATAATCTGGCCTTTGGAGGACGCAGCCCATGGATTTAAACTCCAAGCATCAGTATCTGACAGACGAGTTCCCAGCATGTGACAGAACAGATACTAACTGGAGCAGAGCTCAGCTGGTATCCTTTTCAATATTCCTAAAACCCAAATGAGAATTGTTTGGTAACCAGAACTATCCCACATGCATCTTCATCAGAAATCAACCTGCAGAAACTCTGTAACCCGATAAAAGGTTCCCACAGGGGCCCACATGTACATTTAGTTCACAATAGTGAAGTTCTAGTTCTGCAGAAACAGTTCGGAGCTCTATAGGTGATTCATTTTCATCTTATAATGGAAGTGATTTGCTCTTTTATTTAGCTGAGTGTGTTTGTCTCCAGGTCCGGTTAAAGCTCCTCTGCTTGGTTCTGGTTTCCACACCGGCGTTGGGAAGGAGTCCAGAGCCCAGACGCTGCAGAACGGTGAGGTCACATTCTGTCAGATGATCCCAGCCGCTTTCCGGCGAGCTGAAGCTGTGTGTCGGTCGCTGCAGGTAAACGTCAGATCCAGCACCTGGGCAGCCAGCTGCAGCTCAACCAGCACTGCCTGGACACGGCCTTCAACTTCTTCAAGCTGGTGGTCAGCAAACACCTGACCAGAGGACGCAGGACGGAGCACGTCATCGCCGCCTGCCTCTACCTGGTGTGCCGCACTGAAGGGACGCCTCGTATCCTGGCAACCAGCTCTCAGAGCTGCTGCTCAAAACCACTGATCTCTATTTATTCCCTGGATGGCTGATTGCCAGTAGCTAGTACAGGGTTAGAGTGAAGCCACCGGCCGCCATATTGGTACTCCCTAGTTAGACCAGCCGCAATATGTGTGCTACAGCATCTAACAACAATGCTGTAGCACACATATATAAATAAACATATACATCTATATACATACAGTGGGGAGAACAAGTATTTGAAACACTGTCCCAAGCACTTTTAGCAAAAACGTTCTCCATTATTATCTTGTGTTTTTATTGGACGGATTGATTTTATTTGTAATTGAAAACGTTTCAGATGAAACGTTTTTCAGGATTTCAGAAAATTTAGCACCAGATTAACATCCTGCAGGCAACTGAGGGAGAAATCGCCCGTTAGTCAGTTAAAACAGCAGGATAGTTTTTAATAAACAAGAAATAAATGAGATAGAAAAGAAAGGACTTCACTGATTTTACCCTAAAAATAGAAACTTCTAAATAAAAAGAGCTTTTAAAGGGACAAAGACAAGCAAAAAAAAAAAATTAAATAAATATATCAGATAGCATCACTAAAACAGATCTGAATAAATCACGTTCTGCAGCAGAACCTCTAAAATAAGTCGGGTCCATTTTTCCTGAAGCGAGCCTCAGATATGCTGCTGGACCTCAGCGACCTGCTTCAGGTAGGACCGACCTCACAGGTACAGACAGACGCTCCGAGCTCTGGACCAATCAGGGCCTGTTCTCTGTGTCCAGGTGAACGTCTACACCCTGGGAAAGACCTTCCTGCTGCTGGCGCGGGAGCTGTGCATCAACGCGCCCGCCATCGGTGAGACTTCCTGCCCCGATCATGTGACCCGCCTGTCTGAGGTCACATTTAGCTCAAACAGGATGTGATTAGACCTAAACAAGGACTGTGGTGCCTAAAAAACTGAAATTCAAATATCATTACAACTTTAATAAGTGATCAAATTAAAGGAAAGTCCTTCCTGTATCTATGGGGACCTCTGGTGGCAGCTGCAGGAAATTACAGCTAATTAAAAAAAAAAATTACACTTTATTTAAAGTCAGCAAAATTTATTGATTGAAACCTCTCAGAAGCACGAAGTCTATTAGAACTATAACCACCATCTATCATCATCAGACGCATCAGAGCCAGACTTCCAGGCCTTCAGCAGTAAAAGATCAGTTCTGGGATCTGCCCCCCCTGCACTCCGGTGCCGTTGGTACTGTCTGAGGAGCACTGAAACTGGAAGGTCACCTTCCCACATTGCACCTCCGTCATTCCCTCCTGTCCAAAGTAGCTGAGCTCGTTCCCGTCCAGGACGGCGCTGACCGTGTAGAAGGTGTCCTGCTCCACCTGGACCGGATGTTCAAACCAGACGGGGAAGGTGCTGCTGGATCCGTCGGACAGAAACTTGGTGAGGTTCTGGGCCAGCAGGGTCCCCTGCCTCTTTAGCTCGATCCTCACGCTGTACTCGGCCTTCCCGCCGCTCGATCCGTACAGGCCCAGCCCCGCCATGAAGATCCTGCGGTCCACTGCGAACTGGATGCTGTCGCAGCGCCCCCTGTAGCGCCACTGGTTGCTGCGGTAGGCGGAGGCCTGGAAGCGGTGGCACCTCTGCGCCGCCAGGCCGACCCGTTTGCCCACAGGGAAGTCCAGTTGCGGTTTGTTGGCGGCCGTGTACCACAGGAAGATATTGTGGGTCTCTGTCAGCGTCAGCACGTCCGATTGGGCCGGTCCGTCTGCAAACTCCTGCAGAGACATGGAGGGGATCCGGATCAGGTACAGAGCCTTCCCAAGAACAGTCCGCTGGTTCCGAGGGGTCGCCGCCAGGCCCTGCCGCCGACACTCCGCCGCCGCCCAGCTCAGCGCCGCCTGGAAAACCGCGTTCTCACGGATGTTGAGGGTCTCCCTCTGCAAAACTATCTCCAGCGTGGGCCGGTCGATCTCGCAGAACCCTTCCGACCGCAGCGCCAGTTCCGCCTGAGCGTCGATCACCTCCCAGCAGCGCTGCGTAAGCTCCGCCTCCTCAAACAGCCGGCTCTGGGACAGCAGCACGCAGGCGTTCTTCGCCTCCAGGCTCGTCTCCAGGAAGCCGACGCACGCCTTCGCCACGGCTGGAACGATGTACTTCTTGGCAGCGTAGAGGGTGGCCAGCACCGTGTCGGCGTCCAGCTCCACCTCGTCGCTGTACATGTACCTGAGACACAGGGGACGGGGGGACGTTAGACACATCAGAGACAGAGAGGACACGCCTAACAGCTGCATCACTGGACAGACGGACCTTTCCAGAGACGCTCGGCGTGAATAAGGCTGCGATTGGACCCATTAAGACTTGAAACCGGGTCTGAACAGGTCACACTGTGAACCGGAGGCTAAATCCAGGTTAGCCAGGTGTCCACAGACTGAAGAACCCTGAAAAGGTCTGAACCGGACTTACTGAGTCTACAAAGGTTCTGATCCGGGTCAGAACCGGGATAGGTAGGTGAATACTTTTGGGATCTAACCTGATCTGAGTTGGTTTAGTCTAAACCACAAATAAAGCAGCACCAACTACATTTTTTATAAACGAAGTGCCTGAATGAGTCTAATCTAGGTCAGATCTTTAAACTCGGCCTAAATCTTGCTCTTCTACTTCTACTTTCACCGGCGCGTCTCCAACATCCAGCGTTGAGTTCGAACTCTTATACAGTAGCCCGATAAAACCCAATAAAACCTGGAACTAAACGCCATTTCTGACATTTTGAACTGAAAAAGCTTCCTGGATGGAAGAGAAACGTCTTCAACTTGGAAACAATCTCCAGCTGCTGCTTTGCTCCTGAACGTGGCTTTTCTTTGGGATAACATGTTAACTATTAAGCAGTTAGTCCGGATCGGATCAGTTCTAGTCTCAGAACTCACTTTAACAAGGTGAGGAAAGCAGCTGGTTCCACGTCGGGGATGTGGATCTCAGATTGTCCCTCAGCCAGGTCTCCATAGAACATGGCTCCGAACACGGAGCTGCCGACCGCCAGGACGTACTGCAACGCAGACAGGAAGTGGATCAGAACCAGCCAGAAAACTCACAATGTGAGGATTAAAAAGTTCGGTACCTTATGAGCCGGGACTGTCTGCGTCTCTCCTGGCGGACCCACGATGAAGTGAATGTCAGCCATGTGCTCGTTGTTGAACATCAGAGCGTTCCTGAACAAAAAAGAGGCAGGAGTCAGCAGGGGGCGCCGCTCACTGGACCCTGTCGTCGTACCAACATCCTTCCTACTCATCTGCCGCATGTTTGGTTCTGGCTGTCAATAACAGATCTGTGGCGGAAGCACGATCCGATCTGTACCGGAAGCACGATCCGATCTGTACCGGACGCACGATCCGTACCGGACGCACAATCCGATCTGTACCGGACGCACGATCCGATCTGTACCGGAAGCACGATCCGATCTGTACCGGACGCACGATCCGTACCGGACGCACAATCCGATCTGTACCGGACGCACGATCCGTACCGGACGCACAATCCGATCTGTACCGGACGCACGATTCGATCTGTACCGGAAGCACGATCCGATCTGTACCGGAAGCACGATCCGATCTGTACCGGACGCACGATCCGTACCGGACGCACAATCCGATCTGTACCGGACGCACGATTCGATCTGTACCGGAAGCACGATTCGATCTGTACCGGAAGCACGATCCGATCTGTACCGGAAGCACGATCCGATCTGTACCGGAAGCACGATCCGATCTGTACCGGAAGCACGATCCGATCCGTACTGGAAGCACGATCCGTACCGGAAGCGCGATCCGTACCGGAAGCGCAATCCGATCTGTACCGGAAGCACGATCCGATCTGTACCGGACGCACGATCCGTACCGGACGCACAATCCGATCTGTACCGGAAGCACGATCCGATCTGTACCGGACGCACGATCCGTACCGGACGCACAATCCGATCTGTACCGGACGCACGATTCGATCTGTACCGGAAGCACGATCCGATCTGTACCGGAAGCACGATCCGATCTGTACCGGAAGCACGATCCCATCTGTACCGGACGCACGATCCGTACCGGACGCACAATCCGATCTGTACCGGACGCACGATTCGATCTGTACCGGAAGCACGATTCGATCTGTACCGGAAGCACGATCCGATCTGTACCGGAAGCACGATCCAATCTGTACCGGAAGCACGATCCGTACCGGACGCACAATCCGATCTGTACCGGAAGCATGATCCGTACTGGAAGCACGATCCGTAAAGGAAGCACAATCCGTACCGGACGCACGATCCGTACCGGATGCACGATCCGATCTGTACCGGAAGCACGATCCGTAAAAGAAGCACGATCCGTACCGGAAGCACGATCCGTAAAGGAAGCACGATCCGTACCGGACGCACGATCTGATCCGTACCGGACGCACAATCCGTACCGGACGCATGATCCGATCCGTACCGGAAGCACGATCCGATCCATACCGGAAGCACAATCCGATCCGTACTGGAAGCACGATCCGTACCGGAAGCGCGATCCGTACCGGAAGCGCGATCCGATCTGTACCGGAAGCACGATCCGATCTGTACCGGACGCATGATCCGTACCGGAAGCACGATCCGATCTGTACCGGAAATGCGATCCGATCCGTACCGGAAGCACGATCCGTATCAGAAGCACGATCCGTACCATCGGCTTATTAGTGAATGTGCAACCAGATATTGATCCAGGTCGCCATTAATAATGGAATTATGTTACTAAAAGGGCTTTTTTCTATCGTTAAATCACTAAGGAATGCTGATACACATCTTTAAAAAATGTTTTGTTAAATGTTAAATCAAAGATGATCCGGATGTTTACCTGGTTAACAGGTATGAGCCGATGGTACGGATCGTGCTTCCGGCACTGGGAAACAATCAGGAAGTAACTTTAACAACAGTTTTATCCAGCCGCTCTCTCTCTGTTATTGTAGCTCTATGCCGTCTACCAACATTCTCCTCGTAAACTGCGAGTCAGGTTTAGACTGAGAAACAGGTCCATGAAATATCACGATATTTGAAATATTGCGATGCATCGCGATGAATTGCGATATTTTCATTGAACACTGTTAGAAAGAAATAACGGCATTAGGACCTGCTGAGTGGGATCTGGATGCTGTCTTTAACTGAATTCATATAAAGATGTATTTATTGAAATGACTTTTGCCATGAAAAAAACTACTGGACACAAATATGAGTATTACTTTAACACACAAAAAATGCGTAGGATTTATAGAACTTAAAATAACAAACTAAGGATGATCAGTGGCGTTTATATGGTGCAGAGGTCCTTTAAACCAGTGAGATAAAAACAAATGTATGAATTTTTTTATTTATTTTAAAGCCAAAAATGATCCAATCATCTGACTTCAATGGAGCCGGGCTAATTTTCTTTTTGTTTATTAATGACTCGTCGCAGTTTCTAGCAGCCGGAAACGCTTGTGACACGAGGCAGCGTGCGTCAAAAAAGCGACATCTGCTGGACTGAAAAGGTACATTCAAATATTTTATTTATTCTTTTTTTTTTTACTAAGAATCGATACTTGGTGTCGAGAATCGATGCAGCAGATCACAAAAATTAGAATCGAATTCATCGTCATGACGACTATTTTAAATATATATATTTTAAGGGTGAGCTGTAATGTATGAACACTGTTTATGCATCCAGTTCTACATTGAATTTTTAATAAAAAATATAAAAACAAAAAGAATAGAACATTTTTCCATTTTAAAAAGTAGAGAACAACAATCGTTCAGTTTGTTTTAAAGATAATTTCCTGTTTCCCATATTTTCTCAAACCCCTGAACTTATCGTTTGTTATTTTCTTTCTTCTTTCTGTCTTAATGTTGGCAGTGGGCTTTAGGCTGCCCTGCAAGGCTTTAAACCTGGGTTTAACCGGAGACTAAGCCATTCTCAAGCACATATCAAGGTGGGGAGGTGTGGACTGTGATCAGAATCATTCTGACAGGATGGGATACGATGTTTAATGTCTGTACATCATGGGAACCCAGCAGTCGACAGGCGGACCGGCCCACAGCGCCATGGGGGGGTGAGGGTGTTAGTTTACCTCTCCCTCAGGGTGGGGTGGGCTCCCTGCCAGCTGCGTCTCTCCGCTCCATCCTCCTGGTTTTCTCCCTGGTCGTTTGTGCGAGCGGCGCTCCGCTCCTCGTTGCGCTCGGACTCCTCCGGCTCGCTCAGCTGGATGAAGTTTTTCTTGGTCTCCTCCTCTTCCTCCTCCCCGCCGTGTGGAAGGCTGGTGGAGAAAAGCTCCGCTGCCATCTCCTCTTCCTCCCGTCACAACATGGCCGCTTCCTGTGGATTATAATCCAGATAATCTGACAGCTGCTGGAAACATCAGGATAAAACCTCAGCAGCCTGAACTCACGTCCTGGAAACTGAAATGGGATCAGAACCAAAGTTAGAAGGACCGGATCTCTGCTCAGCGTTCCCACCTGGAAAACGCACTATCAGGTCAGGGAACCAGAACTGATCCAGAACTTTGGATCAGTTCTGGTTCTGCATCAGAAGAGGAGCTCCATCATCCTGGAGCAGAGAGAAGATGCTCCTGATTACCTGATGGAGCCTGGAGAACAGAGCCTGGAAAACAGAGCCTGGAAAACAGAGCCTGGAAAACAGAGCCTGGAGAACAGAGCCTGGAAAATAGAGCCTGGAAAACAGAGCCTGGAAAATAGAGCCTGGAAAATAGAGCCTGGAAAATAGAGCCTGGAAAACAGAGCCTGGAAAACAGAGCCTGGAAAATAGAGCCTGGAAAACAGAGCCTGGAAAATAGAGCCTGGAAAACAGAGCCTGGAAAACAGAGCCTGGAAAATAGAGCCTGGAAAATAGAGCCTGGAAAACAGAGCCTGGAAAATAGAGCCTGGAAAATAGAGCCTGGAAAACAGAGCCTGGAAAACAGAGCCTGGAAAACAGAGCCTGGAAAATAGAGCCTGGAAAACAGAGCCTGGAAAATAGAGCCTGGAAAACAGAGCCTGGAAAATAGAGCCTGGAAAACAGAGCCTGGAAAATAGAGCCTGGAAAACAGAGCCTGGAAAACAGAGCCTGGAAAATAGAGCCTGGAAAACAGAGCCTGGAAAACAGAGCCTGGAAAATAGAGCCTGGAAAACAGAGCCTGGAGAACAGAGCCTGGAGAACAGAGCCTGGAAAACAGAGCCTGGAAAATAGAGCCTGGAAAACAGAGCCTGGAAAACAGAGCCTGGAAAATAGAGCCTGGAAAACAGAGCCTGGAAAACAGAGCCTGGAGAACAGAGCCTGGAAAATAGAGCCTGGAAAATAGAGCCTGGAAAACAGAGCCTGGAAAATAGAGCCTGGAAAACAGAGCCTGGAAAACAGAGCCTGGAAAATAGAGCCTGGAAAACAGAGCCTGGAGAACAGAGCCTGGAAAATAGAGCCTGGAAAATAGAGCCTGGAAAATAGAGCCTGGAAAACAGAGCCTGGAAAACAGAGCCTGGAAAATAGAGCCTGGAAAACAGAGCCTGGAGAACAGAGCCTGGAAAATAGAGCCTGGAAAACAGAGCCTGGAAAACAGAGCCTGGAAAACAGAGCCTGGAGAACAGAGCCTGGAAAATAGAGCCTGGAAAACAGAGCCTGGAAAATAGAGCCTGGAAAACAGAGCCTGGAGAACAGAGCCTGGAAAATAGAGGCTGGAAAATAGAGGCTGGAAAACTGACCTGGAAAACAGAGCTTGCAAAAAAGACCTGGAAAACAGAGCTTGGTAAACAGAGCCTGGAAAACTGAGCCTGGAGAATAGAGCCTGGAAAACAGAGCCTGGAAAACTGAGCCTGGAGAATAGAGCCTGGAAAACAGAGCTTGGTAAACAGAGCCTGGAGAACAGAGCCTGGAAAATAGAGCCTGGAAAACAGAGCCTGGAGAACAGAGCCTGGAAAATAGAGGCTGGAAAATAGAGGCTGGAAAACTGACCTGGAAAACAGAGCTTGCAAAAAAGACCTGGAAAACAGAGCTTGGTAAACAGAGCCTGGAAAACAGAGCTTGGAAAACAGACCTGGAAAACTGAGCCTGGAGAACAGAGCCTGGAAAACAGACCTGGAAAACTGAGCCTGGAGAATAGAGCCTGGAAAACAGACCTGGAAAACTGAGCCTGGAGAATAGAGCCTGGAAAACAGAGCCTGGAAAACAAGACCTGGAAAACAAGACCTGGAAAACAGAGCTTGGAAAAAAGACCTGGAAAACTGAGCCTGGAAAACAGAGCTTGGTAAACAAGAACTGGAATACAGACCTGGAAAACAGACCTGGAAAACAGAGCTTGGTAAACAGAGCCTGGAAAATGACCTGGAAAACAGAGCCTGGAGAACCGAGCCTTGGTTATTTTGGAATCTGAGGGAAAATCCGCGGGTTCTGCAGAGAAAAGCGGATCTTCTGATCTTCTGGATCGGAACCGCAGACTGACTGATGGAGGATCAGATCTCAGAGGTTCTGGGAACACCGGTCCGGTCCGCTCCGGTCCGGTTCCGATGTTCCGGCTCACGTAACCGGTTCGTTTCTTGCAGGGTTAATATTAAGAGGCCGGTACCTTTAGAACCCGCTCCGCTCCGGTTCGGTTCGGTGGATTAAAGCTTCTCCTCGCGCTGCTGTCTGCCTCCATCCGCCATTTTGGGTCCAGCAGACTGTTTTTCCACTCTTCTCCACCAGAGGGAGCTCTCTGCCCAATCATTGCCTCTGATTGTGAACCTGGAGGCCAGTTCAGGATTGTTTCCCTCTGATTGGCTGGGAAGCAAATTAGATCCAGAGAATCAGAGCCGTGTTCTGGTTCTGATCCGGTTTTAATAGTTCCGGTTCTCCTCCTCAGATCCCTGCCTCTACATCCCTCGCTTTGCTCACATGTTGGAGTTTGGAGCCAAGAACCACGAGGTCTCCATGACGGCGCTGCGTCTGGTCCAGAGGATGAAGAGGGACTGGATGCACACGGGTCGCCGGCCGTCTGGGCTCTGTGGAGCAGGTAGAATGGGGACGGTGGTCACCATGGTAACAGCAGCCCCCCCACCTTCTTGAGATGACCAGATGTTTCTTCTCCCTCTCAGCTCTGCTGGTGGCGGCTCGGATGCACAAGTTCCGTCGGTCGGTCAAAGACGTGATCAGCGTGGTGAAGGTGTGTCAGACCACCCTGAGGAAGAGGTGAGTTCTCTCCGCATCCTCCAGCTTCTAGAAGCTTCCAGCAGCGACCCCTCTGAACGAACCGGTCCCAGTCAGGGGCGGATCTAGGAACTTTGGGGCCCTAGGCAACTGCCTAGTATTGCCTGATGGTAAACCCCCCCCCCCCTGGTCCCAGTCAGTCCAATCAGATCACGCCTCTCTTCTATGTTCCCTGCAGGTTAACGGAGTTTGAGGACACGCCCACCAGTCAGCTGACCATCGACGAGTTCATGAGGGTGGATCTGGAGCAGGAATGCGACCCTCCGTCCTTCACTGCTGGACAGCACAAAGCCAAGATGCAGCAGGTAGACCTCCCAGCCTCTGATTGGCTGTTGACTTCCTGCCCTGATCACAGATAGGTTAAAATCAAACGCTGTCCTCCGCAGCTGGAGCAGGAGCTGGCCCGGAAGCTGGACGAGGTGGAAGGTCAGCTTCTATAGAGGAGAATCAAACCACATGCAGGAGGTGGAGAGAAGACCTGATGATCTCCGTTTGCTTTGGTTCTGACAGGAGAGATCAGCAGCTACACCGAAGAGATCGAGACCGAGCTGGAAAAGAGCCAGCCCAAACTGAGGGGGATCTACGCCGCCTACACCAAAGAAATCGGTCTGTTAAAAAGGACTTGTTTTCTGAGTTTATGTAGCAATTAGAGATAATCTATAAAGGAAGAGTAGCAGGAGAAAAGCAGAGAGTGAAAAAGGGGTCCCTATGTCCTCCAGCAGTCTAAGCCTATAGCAGCAGAACTATAGAGATAGATCAGGATAACCTGAGCCACTCTAACTAGAAGCTTTATCAAACAGGAAAGTTTTAAGCCTAGCCTTAAAGTAGACAGGGTGTCTGTTCTAACTTTAGTAATACTGTGGAGTTTGAAGAGGCTCATAAAGAAGAAGAAGATCTTTCTTGGTTTTAGGTCCGGAGGAAGAGGAAGTCCCGTCCTCCACGTCGGACCTGGAGGAGGAGAGAGAGGACGCTGACCTCCAAGCTGCTACGCAGCGCCTGACGCAGGACTTCCTGTCTCAGGTAATCCAGGAAGAGGAAGGGCAGGAGAAGAGGACGCTTGAGGTCGTTTACGACCAGGAGGTGGCGCCAGAGGAGGGTGCAGGTTTACGTCCCCAGGTCCCTTCTTTAGCTTCTATCCTGGGAAGGCTACCAAGCGCCGCCAGCCTGGGCCTCCATGAGACCTTCAACACCTTTGATGAGTCCGAACCAAGCGAGAAGCCAGACGGTGAGAGGAAGACATCACATCAGATAATTCCTACACCAAATAACCAGTAACTCTATCAACTGCTGATCCAGTAATGATGGATTCATCTCCATCTAACTGGATGACCACAAACATCACATGGTGTCATGATGGAGGCTCTGCTTTGTCTTCCAGAGGAGACGCCTCAGACCGGAGAGCTGGATCTAGAAGGTATCGATGATCAGGAGATTGAGAAGGTGAGCTTCTACGTTCCGCTACAGGACCAGGGAGATGGACTCTGTGGGTCCTTCTCTGATTGGCTGTCTGTGTTGGCTGCAGTACATCCTGAATGAAAAGGAGGTAGAGGTGAAGACGGAGCTGTGGATCAAGCAGAACGCAGACTACCTGCAGGAGCAGAAAGGTGAGCATCAGTCACGAGGTGGCGGTTGATCAGAAGCCATCGGTCTGGGTTTATCACCCACTGTGTTTGCAGAGAAGGAGGAGAGGATAAAGAAGGAGAAGGAACAGGGGATCTACAAGGAGAAGGTGAGTCAAACACGGGGTCTCCCAGGCTGCATTGCAGGGACTGGTTATCTGCTCTGACGTCACACCTGTCTGTGTCTGCAGAAGAAGAAACCCAAGAAGCGCAAACAGATCGAAGCAGCAACGGCAGGCGAGGCCATCGAGAAGATGTTGGAGAGAAAGAGGATTTCCTGTAAGATCAACTATGACGTCCTCAGAGACCTGAACCAGACCGCTAAAGGTCACAATCCACCCGCCTCCGAGCCCTCAGAGGGGGCCGCCAAACGGAAACGCCTCAGCCGCCGGCGCAGGAAGACCAGCGACACCAACAGGGAGCTGTCCGCCAACGCAACCAAAATGACAAAAAGGTAACGGCAACTAGAAACGAATCACCGGCAACATGGATCTGATCGGCAATAATAAATGAGTCCTCCATCTGCCTGGTGTTAGGTTCCGTCGCCTCATTTCCTCGCCAAGGAAAAAGAAAGCATCTCCTCAGGTAATGTCCCCCCGACTGGATCCACGCCATAACACCCCGGTTACCTGCTGTAACACCCTGGTTACCTGCTGTAACACCCAGGTTACCTGCTGTAACACCCTGGTTACCTGCTGTAACAGCCCGGTTACCTGCTGTAACACCCTGGTTACCTGCTGTAACACCCTGGTTACCTGCTGTAACAGCCCGGTTACCTGCTGTAACACCCTGGTTACCTGCTGTAACACCCTGGTTACCTGCTGTAACAGCCCGGTTACCTGCTGTAACACCCACGTTACCTGCTGTAACACCCTGGTTACCTGCTGTAACACCCTGGTTACCTGCTGTAACAGCCAGGTTACCTGCTGTAACACCCAAGTTACCTGCTGTAACAGCCAGGTTACCTGCTGTAACACCCAAGTTACCTGCTGTAACACCCTGGTTACCTGCTGTAACACCCTGGTTACCTGCTGTAACACCCTGGTTACCTGCTGTAACAGCCCGGTTACCTGCTGTAACAGCCCGGTTACCTGCTGTAACACCCTGGTTACCTGCTGTAACAGCCCGGTTACCTGCTGTAACAGCCCGGTTACCTGCTGTAACAGCCCGGTTACCTGCTGTAACACCCAGGTTACCTGCTGTAACACCCAGGTTACCTGCTGTAACACCCTGGTTACCTGCTGTAACAGCCCGGTTACCTGCTGTAACACCCTGGTTACCTGCTGTAACACCCAGGTTACCTGCTGTAACAGCCCAGTTACCTGCTTTAACACCCAGGTTACCTGCTGTTACAGCCCGGTTACCTGCTGTTACAGCCCGGTTACCTGCTGTTACAGCCCGGTTACCTGCTGTAACACCCTGGTTACCTGCTGTAACACCCAGGTTACCTGCTACTACAGCCCGGTTACCTGCTGTAACACCCAGGTTACCTGCTGTAACACCCAGGTTACCTGCTGTAACACCCTGGTTACCTGCTGTAACAGCCCGGTTACCTGCTGTAACACCCTGGTTACCTGCTGTAACACCCAGGTTACCTGCTGTAACAGCCCAGTTACCTGCTTTAACACCCAGGTTACCTGCTGTTACAGCCCGGTTACCTGCTGTTACAGCCCGGTTACCTGCTGTAACACCCTGGTTACCTGCTGTAACACCCAGGTTACCTGCTACTACAGCCCGGTTACCTGCTGTAACACCCAGGTTACCTGCTGTAACAGCCCAGTTACCTGCTTTAACACCCAGGTTACCTGCTGTTACAGCCCGGTTACCTGCTGTAACACCCAGGTTACCTGCTGTAACACCCAGGTTACCTTCTGTTACAGCCCGGTTACCTGCTGTAACACCCAGGTTACCTGCTGTAACACCCAGGTTACCTGCTGTTACAGCCCGGTTACCTGCTGTTACAGCCCGGTTACCTGCTGTTACAGCCTGGTTACCTGCTGTTACAGCCTGGTTACCTGCTGTAACACCCAGGTTACCTGCTGTTACAGCCCGGTTACCTGCTGTTACAGCCCGGTTACCTGCTGTTACAGCCCGGTTACCTGCTGTAACACCCAGGTTACCTGCTGTTACAGCCCGGTTACCTGCTGTAACACCCAGGTTACCTGCTGTTACAGCCCGGTTACCTGCTGTAACAGCCTGGTTACCTGCTGGAACACCCTGGTTACCTGCTGTAACAGCCCGGTTACCTGCTGTAACACCCAGGTTACCTGGCTGCACCCAAGCCTCCTATCATGATTCAGGTTCAGTTTATCTTGTCAAATTCAGGTGGAACTAGCCGTTACCATGGAAACAGAAACAGAGGTTGTATCTGAAGCTCCTCCTGAAGATGTTGCTGACACAGAGCCCGCCCCTGCAGAAGCTCCGCCCGCTGTAGAAATTGAGGAAGAGGAGGAGGTGGAAGAAGAGTGTGTCAGTGCGCTGCAGCTGGTTGGAGGTCAGTCCAGAACCTTTACTCTAAATGCCTAATCTCTGCCACAACTGAGAAAAGATTATTCATCCATGAAAACATCCGGTGTTTTCCAGATTACGGCTGTGAGGAAGAGGAGGTCTTTTAGCTCCGCCCACACTGAAGAAACTCCACCCAGACAGTCAGTGACCAGCAGACGAATGAGCCAATCGGTGCTGGAAGCACGGCAGCAGTTTAGACTCAGAACTTTAAATGATCACCGAGCGGCGGACTGGATGCAGCTCGGTGATCACTACGGCTCACTCCCAGAGGATCTGGATCCACAGAGCAGAGTGAGACGGAGTGAGAGAGTGAGAAACGGAGTGAGAGTGAGACAGAGTGAGAGAGTGAGATGGAGTGAGGGATTGAGAGGGTGAGGCTGAGAGTGACACGGAGTGAGATGGAACGAGAGATTGAGAAACGGAGTGAGACGGAGTGTGAGACAGTGAGAGACTGAGTGTGAGAAGATCATGTCAGCAGTGTGCCAAACGATGTGTGAGAAGAGTGAGACGGAGTGTTTGTTGTATTGTAATGCGTTCTATGATCCGTACCAGATAAACATTCCATGCTAATAAAGATCCTGAAAGGTCGCTGGGTTTTCCTTTTTAAATTCTAACGGGATATAATCCGATCTTCAGAACCTGACCCAGCCCCGGCGTTAGCTTCTGCAGGCGGTTCTAACTGAACAGAACCTTCTAGATCCCCGCTGATAACATCATCGGGTCCATTAATCAGCTCAGAAACACTTATTGGATCAATTTATTTCAAAACGTCCTGTAGGTCCGTTTCTGTCAGAAAGTTCTGGGCTAAAAAAAATAAACAGAAAATACAAAGAAATACTGATAAAAAAAAATAACAAAAGAAAAAAAAAAGTTCACTGGCGGTGGGAAAATACAGCTCCCAACAGCCTCTTCATGATCACGCCTCCAGATCCAGGTCCAGGTCCAGGTCTTCCTAATAAAGATCTGGATTTGTCAGGCAGGTTGTGAGACGGTTCCACCTTCCATCAGTCTGAACGGTTCTCCAGAAGAACCAAGAAAATGTCCATTATTCCCGTCTGCTGGCGCCCCCTGCTGGCCGGGGTGAGACTACGTCTCCTGGAGCGCGCTCTGTGGTCCTGAAAGCAGAAAGCAGGAACCTGAGTTCTCCTGATTGGACTCCATCAGCGAACCAATCACATTCAGCCTGGTTATCAATGAACCAATCACATTCAGCCTGGTTATCAATGAACCAATCACATTCAGCCTGGTTATCAATCAGCCAATCAAGGTTTGTGAATTAGTTCAATCCTTCACCACCAGGGGGCAGCACCAACAGGGACCAGATCAGGGTTCTGTTTCATTTCAGTTTAATTTAAGCCTCTAATGATCCAACAGAACTGATGTTCAGAACCAGTTTCATCCCAAACCAGCGACCCGCCCGGTTCTGAGGTTCTGCTGGTACCTGTGTGCAGCTCCACCGTCTTGATCCGACTGTCCTCCAGTGGCAGGAAGCCGCCGCCGGCCTCCCTGGATCCTTCGGTGTCGATGTCACAGGTCATCACCAGGATGGGTCCCACCCCCCCCTTCAGGTGGATCTGGATGCGGTCCTGGATCAGAACACGGCGTGAGTTCTGATGTTCTACTCTGACGGACGGAGCCAAACAGAACCCGATCCCGACCCGCTCACCTCTGTGGGAGCCGGAATCTCCAGCTTGGTTTCCTCAGGAGCTTTCACCACCATCAAGGTCTGGTTCTGGAAGGTCTTCAGCCGCTGGAGGTCCTGGTGGGTCACGTAGGCCAGCGTGAGCAGCTGGTTAAAGAAAACCGAGACGGCCGGTTCTGATCCGGTGGAAAGGCCAGAAGATGAACACAGTGAAGCATGGAGGTGGTTACCTTATGCTTTGGGCCGAGGTTCTAATGGTACCGCTACGCTTCGTTACGGGTCTGATCCACCATCAACAGATGGACCAGAACCGCTCACCACAGCCAGAACTCTAAGGATGGGTCTCTAACTAAACACCAGAACCTCTAAAGGAACCGAAGATCCAAAACAATCAAGAACCCTGAATGAGTTTTTAAACAGACAACTGGACCCGATACCGAGCCGAACCCCCTGACCCGTTTCAGGAAAAGTCCTGATGAGTCTGACCTTCTTCTCCTCTTAGAATCATTTTACCTCCATGAACATTTGGAGGTCCGGTTCAGACCATCAGTCAGAACCGATCAGATGATTCACCGACCCAAACCATCAGAACCTCCCAGAGGAAAAGGATATGCAGAGTTTTCCGGGTCATCCGTCAGGTCGAAGAGCTGCTGGGCGCTGATCCGGATCAGAGAGTCCAGAGTTTCCTCCACCAGCTTCAGTTCAGACGCATCAGACTGGAACCAGTTCTGACCCAGAAAGCTGGAGGCTGGACAGCTGCCTCTGCACACAGACAACTATGAGGGAGGGAGGAAGGGAGGAAGGAAGGGAGGGAGGAAGGGAGGGAGGAAGGAGGCAGGGAGGAGGGAGGAAGGGAGGGAGGGAGGGAAGGAGGGAGGGAGGCAGGGAGGAAGGAGGGAGGGAGGAAGGAGGGAAGGGAGGGAGGAAGGAGGGAGGGAGGGAAGGAGGGAAGGAAGGGAGGAAGGAGGGAGGAAGGAGGGAAGGGAGGGAGGAAGGGAGGAAGGAAGGGAGGGAGGAAGGGAGGGAGGAAGGAGGGAGGAAGGGAGGGAGGGAGGGAAGGAGGGAGGGAGGCAGGGAGGAAGGAAGGAGGGAGGAAGGGAGGAAGGAGGGAGGAAGGGAGGGAGGAAGGAGGGAGGAAGGGAGGGAGGGAGGGAAGGAGGGAGGGAGGCAGGGAGGAAGGAAGGAGGGAGGAAGGAGGGAAGGGAGGGAGGAAGGAGGGAGGGAGGGAGGGAAGGAAGGAAGGAAGGAGGGAGGAAGGAAGGAAGGGAGGGAGGAAGGGAGGCAGGGAGGAAGGAGGGAGGGAGGAAGGAAGGAAGGAAGGAAGGAGGAAGGAAGGAAGGAAGGAAAGGAGGGAGGGAGGAAGGAGGAAGGAAGGGAGGGAGGGAGGAAGGGAGGAAGGAGGCAGGGAGGAAGGAGACAGGAAGGAAGGAAGGAAGGAAGGAAGGAAGGAAGGAAGGAAGGAAGGAGGGAGGGAGGGAGGAAGGAGGGAGGGAGGGAGGAAGGGAGGAAGGAGGCAGGGAGGGAAGGAGGGAAGGAAGGAAGGAAGGAAGGAAGGAAGGAGGGAGGAAGGAGGGAAGGAGGGAGGAAGGAGGGAAGGAGGGAGGGAGGAAGGGAGGGAAGGAGGGAGGAGGGAGGAAGGGAGGGAAGGAGGGAGGAAGGAGGGAGGGAGGGAGGGAGGGAGGAAGGAGGGAGGGAGGGAGGGAGGGAGGGAGGAAGGGAGGGAGGGAGGAGGGAGGGAAGGAGGGAGGAAGGAGGGAGGGAGGGAGGGAGGGAGGGAGGAAGGGAGGGAGGAAGGGAGGGAGGGAGGAGGGAGGGAAGGAGGGAGGAAGGAGGGAGGGAGGGAGGGAGGAAGGAGGGAGGGAGGGAGGGAGGAAGGAGGGAGGGAGGGAGGGAGGGAGGAAGGAGGGAGGGAGGGAGGGAGGGAGGAAGGAAGGAAGGAAGGAAGGAGGGAAGGAGGGAGGGAGGGAGGGAGGGAGGGAGGGAGGGAGGGAGGGAGGGAGGGAGGAAGGAAGGAAGGAAGGAAGGAGGGAAGGAGGGAGGGAGGAAGGGAGGGAGGGAGGGAGGAAGGAAGGAAGGAAGGAAGGAGGGAAGGAGGGAGGGAGGGAGGGAGGGAGGGAGGGGGGAGGGAGGGAGGGAGGGAGGGAGGGGGGAGGGAGGGAGGGAGGGAGGGAGGGAGGGAGGGAGGGAGGGAGGGAGGGAGGGAGGAGGGAGGGAGGGAAGGAGGGAGGGAGGGAGGGAGGAAGGAGGGAGGGAGGGAGGGAGGGAGGGAGGGAGGGAGGGAGGGAGGGAGGGAGGGAGGGAGGGAGGGAGGGAGGGAGGGAGGAAGGAAGGAAGGAAGGAAGGAAGGATCCTCACATCCACTTCATCTTGTTGGCAGACTCCTTCTTGATCAGCTGGATCCCCTCCAGAACGTTGGTGATGTCATAGACCCGGCGCCGTCGGGTCCTGAGGCTGTTGACGGCGGTCCGGAGGTCCAAGGTACCGTCTGGATTCTTCACGAAGAGCTCCAGGAATCGACGGGTCAGAACCGGCAGAGAAACATCTGAGGAACACACATGGTTCAGTTTGGAACCAGCAGAACCTTAAATGATCCAGCAGAACCAACCCTCTCTGGTGTGGATCCTGGCCGGAAGCAGCGGCTCCTGCTGATATCGGCTGTAGGGAAAACATGGAGGATCATCAGGCCCGGATTCTCCTTCAGAAGCAAACAGACTGGTTGAGAAGCGATGGATTACCTGAACAAGGATTCTCTGGGAGCCACTGTGAGAGGCGCCACCTGCAGGAGGGACAGAGCAGAACTCATCAGTGCTGCAGGTCTAGATCTGTCAGCATCAGGACCAGAACCTCTGACATCACGATGTTCTGATCCACCACAGCTTCAGAACCGCTTCACCTTCAGTTGGAGGTTCTCTGCTGGATCCAGTGGAGGAAGTTCTGGTAGAGCGAGCTTGGTGTTGAAGGGAAGGCTGCCTCCACCTTCCTCCTCGTACTCCTCATCGGGCCCGGCGGTACCGCTGGCCCACTGGTCCGCCTCCTCCTCCTCTGGCCCGGCTCCCCACGGATCCATCAGACCCAGCGGCCCGTCCGGGCAGGGCGGCATGATGGGGATGGCGTCGGCGCTGACCTCGTTAGAGGAGATGTCCTCAGGCAGGAAGTGATCCTCACAGATCAGCTTCTGATCCGACGGCTCCTGCTGCTCGGCCTGCCGCAGAGCTGCCAGCCACACCTGGAAGCACATCAGCCTTTTTTTGGTTCTTTACTTTATTGATCAGAACATTCATTAGAAATCCAAATTAGAAAAAAAAAATAAAATAAACAAATAGGAAATTTAATTAACCCGAGCAAAGCAATAAACCAGTGAAGGAATATCAATCCGATCTATCCGATCACTCTGACCTATCTCTATAGTTCTGCTGCTATAGGCTTAGACTGCTGGAGGACATAGGGACCCCTTTTTCATCATTCTGCTTCATTCTATCTCTATTCTCCCACTCTGCAGAATCTGTTAGTTCAATCTCTAACGTTCTGCTCTCTCTGCTTTTTCTCATAGTAGCTTCATCTGGTCTGTTCCTGTTTGGCTGTGACTCCATCCTGGAGAGAAATATCAGCTGTGCTGCTGCCATCAACACCTTTGTTTCTAGATGTTGGAGCTTGGCCTGTTTTCCAGTGTAGTCCTGTTTCTCTGACTGTGACTAACTGGATGTGCTCTCTTC